CCCTTAGCAATATGTTATGGTACCCAGACCTACATTGGTAAACCTAAGGATCACTGTATAGCACTAGCAATGTGTTTTTATTTACGCAGATGTCAACATTTTGTGCTGCAATTATATAAGCAATGAAGAACAATGCATAATGCACATACCCAAGAATATTTCCAGCCCTTTCCAACAAATAGTAATATTACAAAATCACATTAATGATTCAATCCTTACCCTTTTCTGAATTGCAAACACAGCCAGCTCATTGTAGCCAGCTATAAACACTGTGCTGTTCCAGGATGTCTCATTTTAGCAGAAGCACATTTTACAGGCAGACCTCCAGCCTATCCCCCCCACCCCCCCCACTTGTGTGGTCTTTTCAAACTGCTTTACATAGGAAGTACTACTTTTTGTCATAGTATAATATTTCATTATCTGCCAGTCTGTTAGCTTTGGTTGGGGGAGTTCATAGACAAACCAGTGACTGATTGCTTTCTTTGAATCAGTTTTGACTCTAGGCTTCATTGTCTTTTAATTATTTATTTCAGGTACTTATATAGTGTTGTCAATTTACACAGCACTTTACATATATGTTGTACATTCATATCGGTCCCTAACCCTCAAGGGGTGTACAATCTAAGGTCCCTAACTTACATTCATTCATACATATACTAGGGCCAATTTAGACAGGATCCAATTCACCTACCAGCATGTCTTTGGAGTGTGGGAGGAAACCAGAGTACCCAGAGGAAACCCACACAGGCACAGGGAGAACATGCAAACTCCAGGCAGGTGGTGCCGTGGTTGGGATTTGAACTGTCGACCCCAGTACTACCAGGCAGAAGTGCGAGCCACTTAGCCACTGATTGTATTATTGCCAGTGCTCCTGTAAACGGCAATGTTTGTTGGAACGAACAGAAAAAATGTTTCTCACAAACTGTATATTCCTTTTCTTTTAGATTATTATTATTAAAAAAAAAAAAAAACCTCCTTTGTCCATTAGCAATGTTTTGCTGTGTCAAGCTAATGTTCTGCGAATTTTCTTTTGAATATATATTTATTTGTTGGATACATTTTACACAGAGAGTGAAATGGCAGCAACACACTCAGTATTCCCCTTTCAGCATCAGCAAGAAGGGAAACACACAATTTTCTGAGCATCAGACACACTCTTCAGGGAACGAACATATGTGGCCTTCCAGCAGCAACGGGTTGCATTCCTTAACAGTATAGGCCTTCTTTATGGTGAACATGGTAGCCCAGCACCCCCTAGTGCATGATGAATGGCACCACAGCCATCCTTTATTAATTTGTAGTAAAGCAGAAAAAAAAGAAAAAGATCACTACTTTCATATGTGTGTCTTCACAATGTTTTTGGACGTTAAGACAAAACTATAGTTCTTTTGTTGAACAGTTGTATAAGTTACAAATTTAAATACCAAACATGCCACTGAACTTCAACAGCAGAACAGCTAGTTTTAGATTCTATCATGCATCTGTCTTTTACTATAACCACTTACCCTCCAGAGGATTATGCACTTGGGGGCTAAGAATATGCATGCATCATACATATTAGGGGACGTACAACTGGGGGAATCAATGGTGGAGAAGGATCTGGGAGTTCTGGTAGATCACAAGCCTAATAATGGCATGCAATGCCAAGCTGCGGTTTCTAAAGCGAGAAAAATCCTTTCTTGTATTAAAAGAGGTATAGACTCCAGAGAGAGAGATATCATATTACCCCTGTACAAATCATTAGTAAGACCTCATCTGGAATATGCAGTTCAGTTTTGGGCACCAATTCACAAAAAGAACATTGGGGAACTGGAGAAAGTACAGAGAAGGGCAAACAAACTGATAAGAGGCATGGAGGAGCTCAGCTATGAGGAAAGATTAGAGGAACTGAATTTATGCTCTCTTGAGAAGAGGAGATTAATGCAGGCCACAGACAGGTCGAAAATCGGCCATTTAAAAAAAAAAACAAACGACAAATCGGTCGTTCTCAATCGGCCGACGTTACCATCTAAAGCCGGCATTTTTACTTCTGTCCCTTGCAGAGATTATATTATATTATAATTTTACATGAAAAAGTCTTGTGGTTGCAACAATGTATCCATTTGTATCCATTTCGGATACAGATGGTTTTATTCAGATATAAATAGATACATTGTTGCAACCACAAGACTTTTCATATAAAATATAATATCGGACTGGAATTCTTCTTCTTTTTCTTCTTCTTATTTTTCTTCTTGCAGTTCAAGGCTCATGCGCAGATTTTTTATCGGTAAAATGATCGGCCGATTTGCCCATCATTGCCGGGAAAATCGGCCACGAATTTTCAAACTTTACCAATAAAAAAAATGTGCCAAAACCCCGAAAAATGGCCGACCAACTATACCACCTTGTTGCTTCAAATCAATACGTCTCAGTAGTTCTCAATAAGGTGTTCGAACTATATTTCTTCTAAAAGATGCCTGATGAATGATGACTATACAGTGTAGGTGAGTTTCTATATACAAACTGCACCCCTGGTTTTTTATACCTCTCCAAAAGGTCTCCCACAATGCACACCAACAATTCAGGCTGAGTCTTAGGGACTAGCATTTATTGCTGAAAACTGTAAGGCCTCGTTCACACCATTTGCAGAGACGGGAGTTTTTCTGCACGCATTCTGCAAGGAGACAGTTCACACCACAACACTAGTATCACCATTTTTTTTCTGCGCAGGAATCTGCGACATGCCTAAATCTCGACATGAAAACTGATGCAAACTCGTGTCTCTGCAAGTGAAATCCGAGCATTTTTTCCAGCAGTTTTTCTGCATGTATGGTGTGAACAAGGTCTAACAGGTGAGGGAATGGGGCTAAAGGATACTCCAAAACAGAACTATAAATCAATGGGAAAAAATGTCTTAGTGAAAACAAATTATTTCAAGAGCAGGCACACACTACAGTTCCCAATCAGGTCTTACTCACAATATCATAGGAGCTGTCTGCCACACAGCATCCACAGGTAGATCCTCAGTGAGGGGGATAAAAGATCCTTCTCAGAACCAGGACTTCAGGACCGTGCCCTCCAGCAAAAGTCCATTAGCAATCTCCTACAGGCCCGCAGCCCAGCTCCTGGAGAGGCCCCAACTGCAATCTCTTATCTCAGTAGCCCTCTCGTAGGGAAAGCAGCCCCAGGAGAACTGGACCCCCCCCCCCCCCCGGGAGAAGAAATACACTCTGGAAAGGCCTTCAAAACATTTATCAGCTCCTCAGCCACCTTCCGGATGCTCTCTTCCAGGGATTGGCTGGAGCATGATAAAAATTCATTTTGGCGATTTGATTTTCCCTGACTTGTATTCTGAAAGCTTCCACAAGCAGGTGAGAGAAATCAAACACCTAGCTCAGGTAACCCTGAAAAGACAAAAACAATCAATTGTTGCACCTCTGATTACAGTGAAGCCAAGAGCTAAATGTAACCTAGCAACCAAACTAATGGAAGGCAATACACTGAATTATTGAGTAAGAATTGTATATATCTCTTTATTATCCATTTTGTCTTTTTACAGTAAGTCATAATGCCAAACATCCTGAAAAACAGATTTAGCGTTTATATATACACTTTAAGGAGACAGTATAGCTATAAGCACTGTTTCCTTGCATTATTTATGGGAAAAAACACAAACTTCAATGCATGGTTTATTGCATTTTGTATGTAGTAAGGCTGCATTTATAGCAGTAATAATAGAACAATATATAGACAAATGACAGAATTCTCTGCAAAATTATTATTGCTTTCTGGCCTTTAAACTGTATCTCAAAACAAAACCTTTTTTTTTTGAAGTGGGGAAAGGTTAGACCCTTTGTCAGAGTTTTGTCTGTGTCTGTATCCATCAGATTCTGCCTTATATGTGTCTTACTGACCATTGTCACAGAAAGAAAGGGGCAATCCAACATTTTAGCATTTTCCCCAGAAAAAGAGGAACAGAATTTATTTTATGGGGACACCTCTTCCAGGAAAAACTCTCTTAAGATGAGAATTCCTCTCACTTTGAAGGACTATCTCTGAGACAAGAAGTCAAGAGAAATTTCCCTAATGGTATACAGAAAGTAAAAAGTAGACTGACGGGGTTTAATCATACCCTAGTGAATCCAAAGCTATAAAAGTTTGGCCTCTACATAGGTACACTCTAAAGTTCTAACATACACTCACGGGTCACTTTATGAGGCACACCTGTTCAATTGCTTGGTAACACAAATTGCTAACCAGCCAATCACATGGCAGCAACGTAATGCATTTAGGCATCTAGATGTGGTGAAGACGATTTGCTGAAGTTCAAACCAAGCATCAGAATGGGGGAGAAAGGGGATTTAAGTGACTTTGAATGTGGAATGGTTGTTGGTGCCTGAGGAGCTGGTCTGAGTATTTAAAAAATTGCTGATCTAATGGGATTTTCACACACAACCATCTCTAGAGTTTACAAAGAATGGTCCGAAAAGGAGAAAATATCTAGTGAGTGGCACTTGTGTGGGCGAAAATGCCTTTTTTGATGTCAGAGGTCAAAGGAGAATGGGCAGACTGGTTCGAGGTGATAGAAAGGCAACAGTAACTCATGTCAATATGGACCAAAATCTCTGAGAAATGTTTCCAACACCTTGTTGAATCTATGCCACAAAGAATTAAGGCAGTTCTAAAGGTAAACAAGGGCCCAACCTGGTACTAGCAAGGTGTACCTAATAAAGTGGCAGTGTGTGTATAATGCTTTTATTGCTTTATCTCTCTCCCCCCTCTCTCTTCCTCTCTCTCTCTCCCAATACAAGTTTTGCTGGTCCTTACAACATTTCAGTGGTCTGCTATAACCTTACCAGCACCTTTGTAAATAAAATTATGAATAAATGCAACTGAAACAAACAGGTTAAAATGAAATGATATCAAACTTTAATGCTGCCTTGAAATTTCAATACTCCTTAAATATTACCAAAAATGACCATCGGTTTCTCACTGTATGTAACAAAAAGTAGTAGATATTAATAATCTACTACCATCATTGAAACATAGTCCTTGTAAGGAACAATATTCTTGTCTGGGTCAACTGCAGCAGAGATCATTTCCTCCATCTCTTCTTGTGTAAATGGTTCACCTGCAGTTCAGACAATGTTGTTTAATTGTTTACATTATGAAGAGTGCAACTTCAATAGGCATGACGCATACATTACCTTCTTCTGTCATGTATTTAATTAACTCTTCTTTAGTGATGAATCCTTTTTTCTTTTCATCTAAAACCTAAAAAAGAAGATGTATAGTTATGGCATTGTCTTGTGAGTCAGCTCATGGCCAACTAACTGGGAAAGTAGGACTAAGACAAAAACAATGGCAAACCTCAAATGCTTGTTGAAGGACATCTTCTGCAATTGGGCGATATCTATAGTAAATTCAATAAAGAGTAATAAAAATGTACCAATAAAAATGAATTAAAGTATGTGAAAAAAAACACTTTCTTGTGCATTACTATAAGATTACAATGAAAAAGAATATGTCTATTCTTAAAGAACACAGAAGAGGCAATAGGGGTCCTATGAGGATGACACCAGAAGAAGATAGAGAGATACTACTGTACATTGAAAATATTTCTTCAGAATGAGAAACTATCATCCAAAATTAGTGGTTGCTAAACATTGTTTTACATGATTACAGACTAAAGATGAAGGTTTTTGTCTCAGTACCATACCAGTGTTCAGAGGCAATGCAGTCTGCCATGCAAAATTCTGTATACAAACTAATACACCGAGAAGTTCCCACAGTTCAAATACACAAATCTGGGCAAAACCAGATACTGTGAAAAAAATGGTACTGACAAACAAAACATCTCCACTTAATATGTTCTGAAGTCTTGAAAACTATATGATATATATATATATATATATATATATATATATATACTATACAGTCAGGGTCCATAAATATTGGGACATCGACACAATTCTAACATTTTTGGCTCTATACACCACCACAATGGATTTGAAATGAAACGAACAAGATGTGCTTTAACTGCAGACTGTCAGCTTTAATTTGAGGGTATTTACATCCAAATCAGGTGAACGGTGTAGGAATTACAACAGTTTGCATATGTGCCTCCCACTTATTAAGGGACCAAAAGTAATGGGACAGAATAATAATCATAAATCAAACTTTCACTTTTTAATACTTGGTTACAAATCCTTTGCAGTCAATTACAGCCTGAAGTCTGGAATGCATAGACATCACCAGACGCTGGGTTTCATCCCTGGTGATGCTCTGCCAGGCCTCTACTGCAACTGTCTTCAGTTCCTGCTTGTTCTTGGGGCATTTTCCCTTCAGTTTTGTCTTCAGCAAGTGAAATGCATGCTCAATCAGATTCAGGTCAGGTGATTGACTTGGCCATTGCATAACATTCCACTTTTTTCCCTTAAAAAACTCTTTGGTTGCTTTTGCAGTATGCTTTGGGTCATTGTCCATCTGCACTGTGAAGCGGCGTCCAATGAGTTGTGAAGCATTTGGCTGAATATGAGCAGATAATATTGCCCGAAACACTTCAGAATTCTTCCTGCTGCTTTTGTCAGCAGTCACATCATCAATAAATACAAGAGAACCAGTTCCACTGGCAGCCATACATGCCCACGCCATGACACTACCACCACCATGCTTCACTGATGAGGTGGTATGCTTAGGATCATGAGCAGTTCCTTTCCTTCTCCATACTCTCTCTTCCCATCACTCTGGTACAAGTTGATCTTGGTCTCATCTGTCCATAGGATGTTGTTCCAGAACTTTGAAGGCTTTTTTAGATGTTGTTTGGCAAACTCTAATCTGGCCTTCCTGTTTTTGAGGCTCACCAATGGTTTACATCTTGTGGTGAACCTTCTGTATTCACTCTGGTGAAGTCTTCTCTTGATTATTGACTTTGACACACATACACCTACCTCCTGGAGAGTGTTCTTGATCTGGCCAACTGTTGTGAAGGGTGTTTTCTTCACCAGGGAAAGAATTCTTCAGTCATCCACCACAGTTGTTTTCCGTGGTCTTCCAGGTCTTTTGGTGTTGTTGAGCCAACCGGTGCGTTCCTTCTTTTTAAGAATGTTCCAAACAGTTGTTTTGGCCACGCCTAATGTTTTTGCTATCTCTCTGATGGGTTTGTTTTGTTTTTTCAGCCTAACGATGGCTTGCTTCACTGATAGTGACAGCTCTTTGGATCTCATCTTGAGAGTTGACAGCAACAGATTCCAAATGCAAATAGCACACTTGAAATGAACTCTGGACCTTTTATCTGCTCATTGTAATTGGGATAATGAGGGATGTACACACACCTGGCCATGGAACCGCTGAGAAGCCAATTGTCCCATTACTTTTGGTCCCTTAATAAGTGGGAGGCACATATGCAAACTGTTGTAATTCCTACACCGTTCACCTGATTTGGATGTAAATACCCTCAAATTAAAGCTGACAGTCTTCAGTTTAAAGCACATCTTGTTCCTTTCATTTCAAATCCATTGTGGTGGTGTATAGAGCCAAAAATGTTAGAATTGCGTCGATGTCCCAATATTTATGGACCTGACTGTATATATATATATATATATATGCCAAAATTTTACAATTTTTAGTCAGGATATGCAAATTTTTGAGCACACCAATACATACATACATACATACATATATATATACTATATATATATATATATATATATATATATAGAGCTGTCCACAAAAGTTTGTATACCCTGGCTGAATCGTGAAATGTTAGCATTTATATTAAAAATATGACTGATCATGCCAAAAAAACTGTCTTATATTTGAGGATGATGATCATATGAAGCCATTTATTATCACATAGTTGTTTGACTCCTTTTGAAATCATAATGATAACAGAAATCACCCAAATGACCCCGATCAAAAGTTTACATATCCTGGAATGTTTGGCCTTGGTACAGACACACATGGCGACACACAAATGCTAAAATGGCAATTGAAGGTTAATTTCTGACATCTGTGACTTTTTAAATTGCAATTAGTGTCTGTGTATAAATAGTGAGTTTGGATGCACTGAGGATGCACGTGGATGCACTAAACAGGCTAGATATTGAGCCATGGGGAGCAGAAAAGAACTGTCAAAAGACCTGCGCAACAACGAATGACAATTTATAAAGATGGAAAAGGATATAAAACGATATCTAAAGTCTTGAATATGCCAGTCAGTACTGTTCAATCACTTATTAAGAACTGGAAAGTTCAGGGATCTCTTGATAGCAACCAAGTTCAGGTAGACTAATAAAAATTGCAGCTACAATTGCCAGAAGAATTGCTTGGGATACAAAGAAAAACCCACAAGCAACCTCAGGAGAAATAAAAGCTGCTCTGAAAAAAGACGGTGTGGTTGTTTTTAAGAAGCACAATACCACAATACTTGAACAAAAATTACCTGCATGGTTGAGTTGCCATAAAAAAGCCTTTACTGCACCAATGCCACAAAAAACACAGGTTACAATATCCCTGACAATACCTTGACACACCTCACAAGGCTTTTTTGTGGCATTGGCGCAGTAAAGGCTTCTTTCTGGCAGCTCATTTTTGTTCAACTATCATACCATACATGGATCGAAATTCGTCTGGTTCAGCATGGACCAGCCAAGATTTGAAACATGTATGGGCAGGCTAACTGTACCCAAATCTATTGACTTGGGTACAACCAGCCTGTCAGATTTTTTTGACATTCAGTTTCTGCCAGTGGCTATTGCGGTCATCAGTAACCATTGTGTTTTGTCCGCCAGGCGTCGGGAAGACACCCCACACCCCCTCTGCTGGCATAACATAATAGCATTGTAGGAAGCATTCCCCCATCAATACTGAATGTGTGCAGGAAAGAAAAAAGTAATCTATGGGCTGCTTTAGAATCCGACACTTCCGGGAGTGTTCTTACATTGTGCTCAGTGGTTTGATCTGCTGGCCACTAAGTCACTGCTGCCCAAGCCACTTTGATGAAGATTTCGGGTGTTTCAAGGTTCATGAATGAATACATAACTGGAATAAACTGTGGTCTATTATTATCTGCCTAGAGTTCACTTTAAATAAATATTACTGAGGTTTTAAAGGATAAGTTCACCTTTACAAATATAATATTATTATAATATATTAATATTTTTCTGTTAGGAACCTGTAAAGCTTTGCACCCACGATCATGGGTGTAATGCCAGAGTCCTGCAACCTGTCTGTGTAGCTGTCTGCCCCTACCTCCAATACGGACAGGCAGTTACACAATGACAGTAAGCTCAATGAACTACATAGAGAGCTCAACGGTGCTCTGGTAGTTCACTGGGAACTAAAAGCCGGCAGCCTCAAAGGCGGTTAGAACTTGTAGTTTTCCCATTCACACGCGCGGGTGCGTGACTGCTAGCAGGAGGAGAACATCCCCCGCTAGCTATCAAAACGGCGGATCGGTGGGGGGGGGGGGGGGGGAGCAGAGGTCGGTGAATCTGTAACCTGTAGCATGTTATAAAAGGTGAACTTATCCTAACGGAATACATGATGTCTCCTATACAAATAAAGGATCAAAATCAATGCATCAGTGAGTACCAGAATTGTGGTCAACGAAATGTAGCAAGGGCCGCTTCACACCATGCCCGCATCTGAATTGTACAGGAATGCCCTGTGCATTCCTGTTCTATTCAAACAGCATACAAAACGCACTGCATTTGCGATCTGCAGTCGGTGTCAATAAAAAGTTAACGACACCCCGAACCCAGGTCACAAACCCAGTATTATGTGATCCAGTTACAATGCGTTTTAAAAAATAGTGTGGAGCGGTGAGGTGCTGTGCGATTTCAGCCTATTCAAAATGAATGGGCTGAAATCGCACCACATAAAACTGCATGTGAATCGCAAAGGAACACACAGCACGTTCCTGTGTGATTTAGATGCAGGAATGGTGTGAACCAGCCCTAAAAGAGGATAACTGTAATGAAACACAATAAGTACAGTATTCTGGACTGTACACAAGTATTACAATGAAACTGAGCATTGTACATAAAAGCATGGACCGAGCTTTAGCTAGGGGCCATGAAGCACTCTTAGAATCAGTACAAATGAGAGGTCCACCATACCAAGCAGCAGAAAAATATGTTCAGAGACCTCCGTAGAAGGAGGGTCAGAGAAGATAGGGGAGTAAGAGGTAAAAGAAAAGAAGAAGAGAGGGACCTCAGGAACACCATGACTCAAACTCTAGGACCTCAACGCTTATAAAGATGTATAACTTCTTGTGGACTTAGTGAGGTGGGAATATTATATCCACGAGGTCCAAGTCTTTAGCAATTTCTCATGTGTATAAAGTAGGATACTAATTAGTTTTTCATTAATTAATGCAGTGGCAATTAAATTGAGCATTGTACATAAAAGCATGGACCAAGCTTTAGCTGTGGGCCATGAAGCACCCTTAAAATCAATAGATGAGAGGTCCACCATACCGAGCAGCAGAAAAATATGTCCAGAGACCTCTGTAGAAGGAGGGTCAGAGAAGACAGGGGAGTAAGAGGTAAATGAAAAGAAGAAGAGAGGGACGTCAGGAACACCATGACTCAAACTCTAGGATCTCAAGGCTTATAAAGATGTATAACTTCTTGTGGACATAGTGAGGTGGGCATATTGTATCCACAAGGTCCAAGTCTTTAGCAATTTCTCGTGTGTATAAAGGAGGATACTAGATTGTTTTTCATTAAGTAAAAAGGTGTCCATGCAGCGGCAGACCTCTATAAAATGAACACATTGCTGTTTCCAGGCTCTTGCTATTTTCTGTTTTGCCGCCAGCAAGATGTACATTGCTAGTTTAAATTGGGACCCCATAAGGCCCAGGGGCTTTAAATATAATATCTGCATGAGAAAATATGAAACTATTTGTTATCCAATTTCGTACGGTATATCTACATAATATAAAAGCCTACTGGAAGGTAAGACAACAGGGTAAAAGTAGGGAGTATAAGAAAGAGATATGGAGATTTAATCTGTGTAGAGTTTAGTACAAAGCTAGTACTAGTAAATAAGAGTATCAGTATATAGTCCCCCAAACTTTCACATTGACAACCCCTCCACCCTCTATAGTTATGTCCCCAACACTGTCACACATGCATCCACACAGTCACCCGAATATCCGATGGAAATTAACACAAATGTCTTCCAAAATGACTGGTTTTGTAGAAGGACTTGCTGTTTACTGCCCCCTATAAGGAAAAAGGAAAATAACCCAATATAAAACATAGTATAAAAATCCCATACCTTCTCTCCAATAATACTTTTGTCATCATTGGTAAGAACTTCTCAAAGCGAATGAACCCTGTAGGCTCTTCTTCCTCTACCTAGTTGACAAAAGAGTAACAAAAGTTAATAATAAGAAAACAAAATCTATGAAAAGGATGTCTTTTTGATAAAAGTTGTTCAGCGGTAATTTTAGGCTAACTTGTGGTTAACCTAAACAGTAAACTAGGACATGCAAGCAGTTACCAACAGGTGCCAGCTTGTACCTGGAGCCAAATTCTTAGGTTTCTTTCAGACATGCTGCAGTTCTTACCACCCGGTTTTCAGAAGGCAGTGAAGCAGCGGCTGACGTGCATTCAGGAGGCAGTACTGCCACCTCCCGATGAATGTTTTTTTGTTTGTTTTTTTTTATTTAAATGGCCCTAAATTCAATTTTACATTGCGGGACTGTACCGCAACTGTGTGTGTTTGGCTCTCTATTGCAGTACAGCCCTATTAAACTCAATAAGTGAGTTTGACAACCAGTCAATGCCCCGCGAGCTTGCACTGTGGAAATCTGTGTCTGTCCAACCCCACTATTCAGCAGTGGATAGGAAGGGTGGAGGATATCAGGACAATGGAGAAGCTCACTAGTTCATTAAAAATATATCTGTGAAACTCAGGACCACCTGGTCTACTGGATTGAATACTGTCATATAGAGGATTTCAAACGTCTGCTTGAAGACTAATACCTCAATATGCCTCACCATAACATAGTACCCTGGTGTGGTTTTGAGGGCATGTAGTGTATAATAACTTCTCTGCAGTCCCCCGCTCTGTTAGTGGGTCAATGGCACCAGCTAATTTTTGTGGTTCCTCCCCTTTTCGGTGATCAGGCATGTTGGAAAAATTGTGAAAAGCTACCGATATACGTTTCGATTTCCGGACATTCAGAATTTGACCCATGTATGGCCTGCATTTGGCTAGGTTCACACTGCTACAACTTGATTTTGATTTTCAGTGTAATTATGTATTGCAATTTGGATGCTACTTGAATGTGGTTTTCATTTTCTATGGGGGCCAAACTCATGCTAGAATCACACCAGTGTAGTACAGGAACCTTTTCCAAAATCACATCATGCTGAGTTGAATTGATGAGAACAGGCACCATTGAAAACAATGTAATTTCCATTGTCATGCAATTCTGTGCGATTCAAGTTACATCTGAAATTGCACTAGTGTGAACGAAGCCTTAAAAAATCTAGAATGCTAACCAGGAGCGGACTGACAATTCATGGGGCCCCCGTGAAATAGGGAATCATGGGGCCCGTGTCCTCGCTCACACTCAAACCACACCTAAAAAAGCCTATAAAAGTTACCAGGGGCATTTCTTGGGGTCCCCTACTGACCCCGGCCCTCGGGCAGTGCCCCGAGTGCTCGAATGGTCAGTCCGCCCCTGATGCTAACACAAAGTGGAATTTAAACATCTTTTAGCTAAATAAAATGTGTAGCAACATTTTTTAACTTATTTTGAACACATATGTGAAATCCCAATCTTTGCTATGCAGTTTAATTTTTTTTTTAGTGGGAAACTATTAGAACTCAATCACACTTCTACATTTGATTTATCATGCATAATTCATAGGTAAAAATGGGTCCTTAGGCCCTAACGTGCTGTGCATTCCTGTGCGATTCGCAAGCGGTTTTGTGTGGTGCAATATCAGCCCATTCATTTTGAATGGGCTGACATCACACCACACCGCACCAAAAGTAATACATGCATTACTTTTTAAAAATCACTTCAACCGGAATGCATCGTAGAAAAGTACCATAAGAGACAGTGTGGGTAGTTGTGGGCAAAGCGTGTGCGACCTGTGTTTGAGGTGTCGTCAACTTTTTATTGACACCTGCCGCAGATCACAAATGTAGAGCGCTTTGCCCTGCACTTGAGCACATAGCGCCTTCCTGTGCAATTCAGATGAGGGCATGGTGTGAACAGGCCCTTAGGCTGAATGCACATAAGCGGCATTTAGATCAGCTGGAAGAACTCCACTGATTCTCGCCATTGGCTTCCCCTGCCTGCCTGTGTGAATGTAACACTTTCTGAGTAAAAATGACAGCTGAACTTTGAGTGCCTATTAGTCCGCATCTGCACTTTTCTGTGCCAGTTTATTTTATCTTTAAATGTTATTACAGCTTCTGACCAGTAGATGGTGATACATGACAATATGTATGTATATATATATAATATATATGCACTAATATAACTGCACTAATACTAAAACATAGAATCAGTACCAGGGGCAGACTGACCATTTGGAAACTCGGGCACTGCCCGAGGGCCCGAGGTCAGTAGGGGGCCCCATGAGATGCCCCTGGTACCTTTTTCATAGGCTTTTTTGAGTGTGGGGCAAGGACACAGGGCCCCATAATCCCCTATTGCCCAGGGGCCCCATGAGTTGTCAGTCCGCCCCTGGTCAGTACATTGAAGAGTGTATGTCAATGCAAAAAATAAAAAGATGCAATACATCTCTGCAATATATGCACATTTCCCTATATTTTATCCAAGTAAAGCAGAACTCCAGGAATCAGACAAAATCTACTTTGGAGTGGACCCCCCTGCAGGGACAAAACACTAATTTAGTCTAGCAGTGGAAAAACGCAGGGAAATTTTTATATTAGTGGGAGGAATCTTGCCCCATGTTTGGTGTCAGTGGGAGGAATTATGCCACACTGTTGGTGTCAGTGGGAGGAATTATGCAACACTTTGGGTGTCAGTTGGAAAAATTATGCAATCACTGGTGTCAACTGGTGTCAATGGGAGGGATAGTACCCCATTTTTGGTATTAAGTAATTTGGTGTTTGCGGTGCTGGTGCAACAGTGGTGAGACTCTACATATTGTAGTCTCCCAGTAGATATTAATCTAGTGTTACTTTTGTTTAATAGCATGCGTTTCTCCCTTTGAGGGTTGGTATCTTTTCAAATGAATATTCGGTTTGTTGCCACTTTCCCATTAGTGATTAAATGATTTTGATAGAGGTAAGCTTTTATTTGAAACTATACATATATTTTGTGCACCATGTTAATTGCAGCAACAAAGGTTCTTAATAGTTTATTTTTGTCTTATATTACAGTACCCATTCTGGGACGTGTCTTTTGGTTGTTCTGGCGTATTACCATTAAACCAAATGTGACGTTAATATTCATGTATGCTGCTTATACTAGTATTGGTGCCTACTTCACCTCTTAAAGGTACATCTCCTCCCATTCAATTTTCAGAATACTTTTTATTTGCCTTTTGATAGATTTTTGTTGAACTTCAGTGTATGCTGATGAAACTTTGCATTTTGTTATTTCATTGCTTTACCCAGCTCATGTGTCCCTCCAATAGCCATGTGAAGTGCCATTTTGTCTGGGCTACTCTGAGATCTTACTGTCCAACCAAAGTGTACCACAATTAAATCGTTATCATTTTGCATACTGTTTGTCACTTATGAGTTACATATGAATTGTTTGGTAAGTTGCCATCAATTTTTGCAATGGGTTTATGTATATGTATGGGACATGTCACACATGATTTGTAGCAATGTAAATTTGTTTTATTTTGTTGCATGCATATAGTACATATAATCTGTTGGTATATTCTATAATCAACGTGAATCTGTTGTTGTTTTTAATATATAAATATCTCCTGAAGAAGCCTGAAATAGGCGAAACATGTTGAGAAATATTACACCGGAAACATTTCTTTGGACATGTATACCTAACAATGTTGGAACATCCAAATGTATCTTTGTTTTTTCAAATGATATTTTAATATTGATAAAGCAATAAATATTGTACATTTTAACTTTCATCGTTGTTTTATCATTATATGGCAGCTTTAAATAATCCCATCAGATTATTTCTTCCTTGTGAGGAGTTTTATCTCCTCTTCTTTTTCCTTCTCTATGTATCTTTTTCCTTCTTCTCCTGACCATTATTGGTATTAGTGGAAGGAATCTTTCCCAATTGTTGGTGTCAGTTGGAGGTATTATGCCCATTGTTGGTGTCAGTAGAAGGAATGGTGCCTCATCATTGGTGTCAATGGAATGAATTGTGCTTTATACCAATGAGAGGAATAGTGCCACAAAGGCCAGATAAAGGCAAGCAAAGGGCTGCATCTGTCCCGCACGCCGCAGTTTGGAGACCATTGCACTCTATCATCTTTCTGCCTCCAGCTTTCTTGTAAAAACTCATAATTCAGCTACATGACATCTGTCCAATTAGCAGGCAGGTGGTCCAGGAAGCAGTAAAGTTGAGCAAGGAAATTCTTTCATCTCTTAAATCGGAGCTCCAGTCTCCACAGCAATTTTTTTTTAAAGCACCACTAAGATTGTTATTACTTGTACTGGAATAATTGGCTATTGTTATAACTGTATTCATACCTGTTATTCTTACATCAGTGGGAGGAATTATGCCCACTGTTAGTGTCAGTAGAAGGAATGGTGTCTCATCATTGGTGTCAATGGGATGAATTGTGCTTTATACCAATGAGAGGAATAGTGCCACAAAAGCCATATAAAGGCAAGCAAAGGGCCTTATCTGTCCCGCAAGCTGCCGTTTTGAGATCATTGCACTATATCATCTTTCTGCCTCCAGTTTTCTTGTAAAAACTCATAAATCAGCTACATGTCATCTGTCCAATTAACAGGCAGGTGATCGAGGAAGCATTAAAGCTGAACAAGGAAATGGCTGAATGGACTTCCTGGTTGTGCAGTGTGGCAGGGGTGTGCATATTACATCACTGACTAAACACAATAAAAAATCCTTTAGCAAGTAAAATAGTGAGTTTATATGTTTTTTAACAGTATATTTATGTGTTTGCTGGAAGTTAAATTTAGGTTACGTTTTAGGTTCTGCTCAAGATTCTGCATTGTGTGAAAACGGGTGTTTCCTGCAATGTTTTGCACCCCATACTACTTGCATTGGTGTGATGCAGTGCTATTCAATCTCAATGGGACCCCAATGAACCTTGCAAGGATACCATTTTGAATGGTCCTCCCAATAAGGTGCATGTTAATGTGCAAACAAAGATGCGCATACTTACATGCAATGCACTTCAGTGGTTAGGTGTGAACGGAGCCTTAAGGCCAGGGTGAGGTTAAATATTAGAGGAAGGCTAAATTTGGGTTAGATGAAGGTTTAACATAATCCAGGTTTTTTAGGCTGGATTTTGGCACTAAACCTCTATGCCAACAAATGTCTGGTGCCTGGTTCTTGCTGCCAAAGCTAACTAATATTTTAACATTCCCAACAAAAACCTCTTACCTCTGCAAGCATATCATGAAGTTCTCCTTCTGTTGGGCAACATCCTAATGATCTTATGATTGTTCCAATCTCTCTGTAAACAACAGTAATGGGTGAATGTAGCCATTCATTCATAGAATAATGTTTACCAGACACAACGTTAGGTTCAAGCCCAAACCTAGACATACTTTTTATTTTGCTGTAGATAGATCAGGGAGGGGTTAGAACTTCTGTTTGTTTTATTGCAGTCTTCGCCCCCAGTATTAGGGAGATATCTCCTTGCTTCCTATCAGCACAGGAAATGACACAAAATCTCCCCAATGGGAAGACAATTGACACAAAAATAAGTTTTTAGTAAAGTAAGGCAGGGTGACGCTTACACAGTAGTCGTGTGTGCAGGTTCCATTTAGGGGTTACTTTAGTTTTGTGCTCCATAAACCTGATTGCACCATGGTGACACTGTACTACTTGTGGGGGGTGATGAAGATTTTTTTTTCTTTTACATTGATTGCTTTTACACCCATAAAGGCTGTAAAAGCAATAATTACTCCTTCTCTCTGGCTGTATTCTTGCAGCCATTGAGAAATACTATGATTGGTCACAGCTTGTCACATGGTACAAGATTGTTGAGAATAGCCTTGTACCATGTGATCTCTGTGATCATTCACAGATTTTACACATAGTAAGCAATGATGTCAGAAGTGACATCTTGCTTACTACTCTTCATGTGATCACTGATTGGCCAATCAGTGATCACATGATCGAGACCTCACACAAAGGTCCCGTACAGCGATCGGTGGGCCGCTGTGTCTGGATCGCGGTGCGTGTGCTCCCAGGAAGCACGCACAAGCAGGGAAGCGGGGAGGACGTTTATAAACGACCACCCGCCACGGCTGTTTATATACATGGGATGGACAGGAAGTGGTTAATTTGTACAGAAAATGCACACAAATCCATCATTCCGTTGAAGACTGGCCTCTTATTCCTAGACATCCTGGGTGTTGGCCATTGTAGTTTATCTCCATTCTCTATTAAGAATATGAAAGAATGTCAGCCGCACTCCACTTAGATCCTCATGCAGTATTTCTATTTTTAATAAATGAATTGAATACATACAGTATCATCCCCACCCAAAACTGAACCTTCTTTGACACATTTCACCACTTCTGAAGTCTTTCTCTATCCTTGTGAGCAAGCCAAGAGTAGTGAACCGCATCAAGAAGGCTGGTTTTTGGGTGCAAATATTACTGTATGCAGTCAATTCATTGATTGAATTCATTGATTCATCTCCTTAAATCGGAGCTCCAGTCTCCACAGCAATTTTTTTTTAAAGCACCACTAAGATTGTTATTACTTGTACTGCAATAACTGGCTATTGTTATAACTGTATTCATACCTGTTATTCTTACATCTGTAATCAATCACACAATCTTGTCAGCAGGCAGGAACCACAGTAGATGTGGGCATCTGAAGCTCGCTCCTGTTCACTTCCGGGATTCAGTGCAGCTGGCCAGCCAGCATGCACCTCCCAAACTCACGCCTGCGGTGCAGTTTGTTGATTGAAGGTTGCCATAGCAACGGTGACATTGATGGAAATTCCCACCATTGTTGTTATGGCAACCTGTCAATCAGAAGACCTAGAATTCAGATGTGGTAGGGCAAATAACATGCGATTTCTTTATTAGTCAATTCACTTGGACTCCTGGGATAGATGACACCAATATCGCAGGAGTCCAAGGGAATCGCCTTATGACAACATGGCCTAGGCGGTTGGACTGGAAGTGCCGCATACAAAGATAAAAATAAGGTATTCAGACATAAAAGAAAAATATATTATTATCCATTTAGGAATACACCAAGGGTAGGCATGTAGATGAAAGCAACTTTTAAAAATGGGTGGAACTCCACTTTAATTTGCAGTCTGGAAAATGCCACTAACCATTCTAGAATGTACTAATGGTCCAGTTTATTCATTGTCATAAGTTTTTTCTGGCTTTTTTCTTTTTAATGCACCATTGCAACAAATGTACTGTATACATTTCACGTATATAATCGTGCTATACTATATATATGGTAGTTTTTATACCCACACAGCACTTTCTGGAGAAAAGTCATTACATCATACTTAACCACTTCCCGTCCAGCCCATGTAGATAAACGGCCGGGCGGGAGCAGTGCAGGAGCGGGTGTCTGTTTATAAACGGCCCCCGCATTCACTGCCCGTGGATTGCTGTTAGGGACCTCGGTGTGAGGTCCCGATTCATGTGATCACTGATTGGCCAATCACTGATCACAGGAACAGTAGTAAACAAAATGTCACTTCTTGACATCATTGCTTACTACGTGTGAAATCTGTGAATGATCACAGAGGTCACATGGTACAAAGCTATTCACAACATGTGACCATGTACCATGTGACAAGCTGTGACCAATCACAGCTCTCAGTATTTCTCAATGGCTGCAAGAAAGCAAATTATTACTTTTACAGCCTTTATGGGTGTAAAAGCAATCAGTGTAAAAAAAGAAAAAAAATCTTCATCAACCCCCACAAGTAGTATAGTGTCACCATGGTGACACTGTACTGCTAGGGTGACGGTATGTTAAAAAAAAACTTAAATAATAATATAAAAAAAATGTAAAAAAGATTTTTGAAAAATTATAATTTTTGGTTATAAACTAATTTGGATTATTTTTTTTATTGAAAAGATAGATGAATACATTTTGGCCAAGATTTATGAAGAAAGATTATTTACTAGCAAAATTTTATAAGAAAAACACTTTCTTTTTCAAAATGTTTGGATTTTTTCATTTATATAGCAAAAAAAATAAAAATCCCAGTGGTGAATAAATACCACCAAAATAAAGTTTTATCTATCTCAAAAAATGCTAAAAAATTCATATGGGTACAGTGTTGCATGAGCGCGTAATTGTCATTCAAAGTGTGATAGCACTGAAAGCTGAAAATTGGCCTGGACAGGAAGGGGGTGAAAGTGTCCGGACTTGAAGTGGTTAATTGACTCTGAGAAAACCCAGAAATAGGATTTTCTTGGTAAAGTGTAAAATGATGCCTCTTAGTATGGTCACAAGGTGATAGTAAACTGGAAAAGCAAGCAGAGGTGTTGTGTAGAGTGGGGGTTCTCAACCTACGGGTCACGGTCTGATAGCTTCTTGTCTTTCCTGTTAGTGCAGTGTTAGGGCACCACTGTATCGCACACAGCTTGTTACACTCCTTAATACATAGGGGGCTGGCAGCAGCAGCAAGTCTACCTGACTGCTCTATAATATACAGCGGAATACTCTTCAATCCATGAGCAGGCAGAGCCAGAGAAATTGGAGTGTCATATCTTGCCCCTTGTCCCACGTATCACTTATCTCTCTGACTCTCTCCCTCTTCCCTCTCTCCTCTCCTCCCCTCTCCTCTCCTCTCCTCCCTACTACATGTGAAGAATGTCCTGATCTTTCCAACAAGGCCCTATCCTGCACAAACCAGCATTTCTCCAAGTCCTCAAGATGGCGGAGTAAGGCTAAGTTCACATCTCAGCGGCTCTACATGCTGCAATTGTGCAGGTACAGCTGCTCAATCATTTGAATGGGCTGCTGTGCCTGGGTTTCCTGCAGGGAAAAGGTCCCCGCACCTTTTTAAAATCGCAGCTGCACAGAAACTGAATGATACTTTTACACCATGTTTTTTCGATTGTGGGAAACCACACTGTGTTTTTCAGTTCATGGGGGTGCCATTAAGCGTTAAAAGCACCCCCCACGCGTTTTCTTTAAAGCATCGTGTTTTGTGTGTGGCGCCATGCAGGCGTGGGGGTGTGGATGATTTACACGCATTCCTGCACCCGCACAGATGTGAACGTAATCTAAATAGTTCTGACACCTAAATAACCATTTATTTAATCACCCAAAATACCAGAAAAGGAAAAATGACAGTTAAACAGCCTAAAATGTCATCTGTGCAAATAGGTTGTGTGTGTGATTTCATTGTCTCTACTTATTACACTGGATCCTCTGCCACTATTCACACGGTATAATCTGCCACTTACATTACACTGCATTTCCCAGTGTAATAAAAAAATTTCATCACCCCCCACAAGTAGTACAGTGTCACTATGGTGGGACTGTACTGCTAGGGTGACAGTATGTTTAAAAAAAAAAACCCATAAATAAAAATATATAAAAAAAATAAAAATGTAAAAAAATTATTTTAAAAAATATAATTTTTGGTTATAAACTAATTTTGATTATTTATTTGCAAAATGTTATAAGAAAAACACTTTTTTTTCAAAATATTTGGATTTTTTCATTTATATAGCAAAAAAATAAAAATCCCAGTGGTGAATAAATACCACCAAAATAAAGTTTTATCTGTCTCAAAAAAATGCAAAAAAAATCATATGGGTACAGTGTTGCATGACCGCGCAATTGTCCTTCAAAGTGTTAAAGCACTGAAAGCTAAAAATTGGCCTGGACAGGAAGGTGGTGAAAGTGTCTTGAAGTGGTTAAAGAGATTGAAATTGAGTAAGAATGTGTATATCTAGAATTAGAGTAACTTAAATGATAAGTTCACCTTTCCACAAAAAATAATAAATACACATTTTTTTGCAGGTAAAAAAATGTGCAGTTATTTTTTGTGTTAGGAGCCTGGAAAGCATTGCATTAGTGATCAGCAGATCGCTGATGCCATGCAAGACTCCTGCACACTGTCAGTGTATCTGCTTGCTCATACATCCCATACTGGAAAGCTGATACTTGCTGACAGGAAGACTCAATGAACTACCACTATGCTCACAGAACTGTAGTAGTAGCTTGTAGTTCATTCATTCACAGAACACTGTGAATCAATGAAGAGGCGGTGTGGGCGGAGCCCCGCATGGCTGCGCTATTTTTGAAAACTGGCAGCTAGTACGGGGACTTCTCCCCCTACTTCTGTCACAGGGAGGGGGGGGATCTGGAGGCAGCTGCAGGATCGGGAACATGTTACATGTTCCACCCTAAAAACGGGTGGATTCTGTTGGATTTTGGTATCTTTC